TGTTGAATTTGGAAAAAATCTTCAAACCCACCATAATTAAATCTCACTAAATTTTCTTTTTTCTTTTTTTGACATCAAGACTACTTCTTTTGTAATTCTTCTACTACTAGCTAATTAGAAAATTATAGTCTTTATGATTTTTTCTTACTAAACTCTATTCTAGATTACATGTCTACTATTAGTAATCTATTTTTTATTTTTTTCCTCAAATTCTAATAATAACTCATAAAATTTTTATTTTAAGTACAATAAGTATATTTTTTATACAAAATATCAAAGTGAATGAATTCAATGGCTCACAAGCATCAATTTTTTTACCTCATATTATAATCTGTAGAAAAACTAGATGACAAGGATAATATCATTCCACTTGACATCAGTCATTAGTTGTCAAAATTATAAAGCATATAATGTCACTAATCAATTGCTTTGTTGTAAGATACAAATTTTATTAATTGAAACATGAATTGCATCATGTGTTCTATACATGGATCAAATTCCACCATAAAAGCCTCTAGATTATTCGATATTGAATCTCATTGTTCAAAAAAAGATGAAAACCATGATAATGCTGAATTTGAAAGAAGTGTATCAATAAATCTAACTTGTGATCTCGGCATTGGATATCTTTGGGATTGAAGTTCAATCACAAGTTATACTTGATTGATAAATCCTTGAAATTTGGATCTTATGCCATAAAACTTCTTGGATAAGGCAACTAGGTTTTTTAATATTAGAAGGATATTCTACTATAAGAAAAAAAAAGATGTGATTTGGTATAGATGTTAAAGCAACTCCAAATATATTTGTATCTTCACTTGTCATTTTTGTTGCTCCAAGTGGTAATAAACTAAATTGATGTATTGCAAGCATCAACTCCCTCAATTGTTCTTATATTTATTCTATTATACTCTTCATTTCAAGCAGCTTTGCCATGATGACACTTAAAAAAAAAATGTTTAATATTATTGAAAACAAGCAGAATAGAAGACTTGAGAATAAAGAAGATACTAAGAACAATATTAGTTTAGAAGAGGATAATCTACAACTTCTAATATATTTATGTTTTATAAAGAAAAAGAAATAATCTACTCTTAATAAAAAAAAAGACAAAGTTCGAATATTCTAAGTCTACTCTTATCAATCTATTAAGGACATGAATTGAAAAAGATGTATAAATCAAAAAAAAAATTGACCAAAAAAAAGTAACAAAATAGAAATAAAGTAGTATGTATTTTAAAAAGAAATTAAAATGGCTATTGCCAAAAGACAGAGAAACTAAAAACTCTTGAATCTATAGTAGAAGCAAGAAAGGAATTAAAAAGAATAAAGAATGCTTCACTCTTGCCTCTATATATACTATCTACCTTGGATCTATGTGGTGACATTCTATAAGACCTCCAAAAACATGTTGACTTTGCATGATATATATTTTGACTTGTAAGGCAAGTTTTTTATATGGCCACCACATAGTTAATTTATTCTGTAAGCTACCAATACATGTGGCACATGGATAGCTTATTGACTAAGTTTCTATCCTATCAATTAACTACAAACATATGTAAAGTCAAAATAGTTTCTAGAAAGCTTCTAGGAAACTTCTCTAGAAGATATTATAAAATTAACCTACTTTTATCCAATTCTAACTATCTACGTAACAATTATAGTAGATATATATCTATGACATATGGCAAGAAATTCATTGCATAGAGCTTTGAGATTAAAAGCTTAATTCAGGCGACAGTACTTGGTTGTTAGACAAGATAGCTAAAAACAAGATCTAAGAGAATCTACTTAGGGAACGAAGATAAAAGGATTAAAAATAGTGTGAATAGAGATGGAAGATGAGAGCATGATGATGGTTTTGACAATTTGGATTGATTTAGTAAAAATTTAGGTTGGTTTATTATTTTCTTTGATATATATATATATATATATATATTCTTTGATATATATATATATATATATATATATATATATATATATTCTTTGATATATATATATATATATATATATATATATATTCTTTGATATATATATATATATATATATATATATATATTCCTTGATATAAATAATATATATGAAATATATGTACATCCTCCATAATTTATTCCTAAAAGTTATCATAAAAACTTGAAAAAATCATAAAGTAGTGTGGTAGGATTATAGACTTTAATATTATTAACATTTTATATTAATACACTAATAAGGCAATTATTATCACATAAAGTTATTTTTACGCTTTATAGATTAATAATTGATGTTTAAAAGATAGTCTTATTTTATCATTTAAATGTTATAAGTAATATTAAGTTCTAAATTCATTATAAGTTGTGCATAGTTGGATGTTACTACCATTAGACATAATAATGTAAATAAATCTGATAGTAAAACTTAATTTGTTTGAATATAAATAAAAAAAAATTATACCTAATAAAAATAGAGGGTTGTTAAAGCACCACCTCCATTTTATTAATGTCACTCATGCTCCTTGCTATTTCATCATTTATTTATTTTATCTCATGTCATTGATCCAAACTCCCTCTCATATTGCATGTTATCTATTTCTTGTTACTTTCTTTTTGTTCTTCATTTCTTGTTCTATATTCTTTTTTCTAAGTTCCTTATTCTTGTTCTTTGTTTCATACTCCATGTTTCATACTCCCTTGTTTTATGTTCCATATTACCTATACCCTGTTCCTTATCTTTTGTTTAGAGATAATATATATTATTACTACATGTTTTGAGATTTTTCTCTTATTAAGAATTAAAGTATACATTTCAAACTTCTTTACAATTTCTTATGATTATTTAAAAAACATAATTACAAAATTATCCATTATATTTTTGAAATAAAATATATATACATTAAAATTATGATATTTAATTCAAATAACAGCAAACTTAAAAATGAAAGAACATGGATTATTTATAAATTAAAATAAAATAAATATAAAGATAATATAAGAGAAAATTTCTATTTTTATTTACAAAAATTACTCAAAATTAAAATTAATTATTTATATTTTTTAAATACTAAATATTATACTATAATAATCTCATATTATAGAATTAAGTAACTCTAAAATATATTATGTTATGAAATATTTGAAGTAATAAGGAATTAATATATTTTTATATAATACTTGCTAAAATCTATAAGCTAGAACAAATTTTAAGTAAATAAATAAATACATTAGTAGTCATTAGTTGACAATAATAAACATATTGAGTATTAGTATTATAACAACCATAGGAACATTCAATACAAAATAGTATTGGATAGGAAAATAATTTTTATGTACGAATAAAAATAAAACTAAATAAAATAAAATTTACTATTTTTTTTCTTTTTTACTTTTTAATACATATTTTAAATTTCTTGAATTAAAACATATAATCATAAAATACAAGATACTTAATTATAATGTTATTAGAATAATTATTTCAATAAAAAATAACCATTTATGAAATAATTTTAATAATCCATTAAATTTAAAGAATACATTATAAAAAAATAAGCTCAATAATACTTAAAGGCTTAAAATATATTTATAATAATAATAACATCATTATATATATATATATATATATATAGAGAGAGAGAGAGAGAGAGAAGTGTTAAATAGATCTATGTTTTTACTAAATAGATCCATTCTTAATGAAAAATATGGTAATCATGATGATTGTGGTTGGTTTTCATGGATTGTAGATCTAATGATGGAGAAATGAATCTAGATGTCATTTGTTTTGTTTTGTTTTGTTTTTATTTTTGTTTATTTATTTATTTATTTTTCATGATGGTTTGGATGAATGGGTTGATTTAATAAAAACTTGGGCCTATATAATATTTCCTATATATATATATATATATATATATAAGTAGTTGTTAAAGCCACACCTCCAAACCATGTGATGATTAATTTTGGAAGATAGAGAATAAGGGACGGAAATAGGAAAATAAGGCATGAGGGTTGAGAAGGGAAGACAAGGGATATGAAACAAAGGACAAAGATGAAAATGGATGGAATTGATCATGAGATGGTAATGTAGGGTGTGGTTTTAATAACTTCATATATATATATATATATATATATATATTAGAAATTTTTCATTTAATTCTTTAACTTTTTTCAAAATTATTTCTTAAAATGGATATATTGTAAAATTTAAGAAACAATACTTTTCATATCATATAGGAAAAAGAAAAGAAAACAGAAAACAAAATATTTCACCTCATTTTTTTTTCTTCTCATGTTTTTCTAGCTGATTATCTTGACTAGAATGCCAACTATGTGAAATTTCTCAATTTCAACTAATCCTGAGATTTGAAAGTTGTGACCACTCACTGTCTCTTCTAATAAAAAAAGACCCCTTAATTTTACTATTTTAATGCAGAAAACCCCCAACATGTCAACTTCGCATAAAAAGCTATTATCCTTTAGGAATTACAAGATAATATATAGTATGAAACAACAAAATCTCAATGAGACACTGCAACAATGGAGTTTGCTTAAAACCTTACATTATATAACCCATGATCAAAAGCAATGTGCAACCATACCAGGCAGCACATCACCTTCTTCTCCCTACGATCACAATAACATAGAACAACTGCCAAATACAAACCAAAAATGCAAATTGCCACACTACCTCCACTGAAAAGGTACAAAAACCTTACCTCACACCCCATTATCTCCAACACACTGGACATTAGGGCTACAGCAGCAGCGAAAATGGGGCAGAGCTGCCCGGGAATGAAAATTCAGGAAAGATGAACAGTAGATGAACAATGGATGAAAATATGAAAAGTGGATGAACAGGGATTTACTGGACATCCCGAGGCACGAGATGAAAAGAGATGTCGCGTCAAATGGTGGAAAGTGGAGGCAAATTACGGAAAGATTCGCACTGAGAATGGCGGGACGCTCATTTCGACGAAGGACACTGAGTTGACTGCGCGACGAACACTGGAAGAGGTCGGGGCCGCGCAGAGATTCCACTTCAACACGGCGTTCATGGTTTGCGTCGCCAAACGCGCTTCATTCATGGTGCGAGCTTGACAGGATGGTATGAAAGAGTCGGAATTCTCTGTTTTTGCTACCACAACGTGTAGGCGCTGGCGGCAGAGCGATGATGTGACGGGGATTTTTGAGTCGATTGTTGCTTCCGAAGGAATTGATAAGGTTATGGCAACGAGGAGTCAGTGTCTTCAGAAATATCGATTATAGAGTGGAGAAGTGGTAAGTTGGATTCCGAGATAAGAGCAAGGGTTTGGAAAAGGGCAGGGCGAGTGAGCGCTTGGTGGTTGAGGTTGGAGTTGGAGAGAACAGACGTTGAGTATGGCGCACCTTGCCCCCGTGCAGACCATAAAGAGGCGGCGGCAGGCGATTGCATTGCCTCCACCCGTGACTCCCTCAGCTAAGACCTTAGTGAAAGCGCTAATGAGCCTGAAGAGGACTTTGTCGTCTGCCGGAAAGCCGACAGTATGCCAGTGTCGTAATGCCTCGAACGTTGTTCGTAGAATTGAGCTCTTGGCGACTCTTTTCGAGGAAATTGAAGTGTCCGACCGTCCTTTTCCTCCATCAGCTGTGATTTCTCTCCGAGAGTTGTATAGGTTGATGCAAAGGACCTATATGCTGCTTGAAGAGTGCCGAGAGATCAGCAGATTTTGGTTGCTGATGGAGCAAGGCACGTATGCGCAGTACTTTTACGAAATCACTCAAAGTTTGGGAAAGATACTGAGCTCCATTCCTTTGGAACTTCTGGATCTATCGGAGGAAGTTATGGAACAAACGGAATTAGTGCGTGCACAAGCGATCCGGGCACGTTTTGTGCAGAGCCCCGCTGAAGTTCAGCTGCGTGAAGACGTTGTCAATATGTTGAAGCTTGTGGAAAGAGAAGAGACTCCTCAACCATCCCAATTGAAATGCCTCTTCAACGTTCTATATCTGCTTAATGCTGCAAACTGCGAGACGGAGATCCATAAGTTGGAAGAGATAAGCACGGAAGAAAGTAGACTACAGGATTTGAACATCCAGGATAGGGTTGCTGGATTGATTAGTTTCGTCCGATATGGGAAGTATGTGCTATATTCGGGGGAATTTGAAGGAGTTGAAGACGAAGTTTCTCGAGTTCACTCCAGAAGTAGACGTGATGAAAACAGGAGTGAGGTATCAACAAGCGAATCAGATAAAAGCGCTGCGATGGTCGTCCCTCCAATCGAATACCTGTGTTCAATTACTCTTGATCTCATGCGTGATCCTGTGATCGTTGCAACTGGACAGACGTATGAAAGGTCTTCCATCACAAGGTGGATTCACGCAGGACACTCAACATGCCCGAAGACCCGCCAGAAGCTTGCTCACCTCGACCTGATTACAAATTATGCATTGAAGAGTTTGATTTCACAGTGGTGTGAAGACAATAATGTTGAATTTGAGAACGGAACTCAAAAAGACAACGGAAAAGGCGTTCGAGTTCAACGTATTCACAATTCAGGAGGTAACCTTGAGGCCACGAAGCTCGCTGTGACATTCTTGGTTCAGAAACTTGCTACTGGTAATGAGTGTATTCAGAAGCAAGTCGTCCGTGAGCTTCGCTTGCTTTCAAAGAGTGGAGAGGAGAATAGGATATGCATTGCGGAAGCTGGGGCGATTCCACATCTCCTTCCGCTGTTATCATCCTCCGATGTCAAAACTCAAGAGCACACCATCACAACTGTGCTAAACCTTTCAACTGTCGAAGACAATAGACGAGTAATTGTCGCAGCCGATGCCTTGGATTTGGTTATTGAGGTCTTGAAATCAGGGCATACGATGGAAGCGCAAGAGAATGCTGCTGCATTACTGTTTTCCCTTTCCAGCAATGACGAGGTGAAAGTGCAAATCGGAAGCAAGCTCGATGCAATTCCATCACTGGTCACTCTGCTTCGGGAAGGCAGCATGCACAGAGGAAAGAGAGATGCTGTGAACGCATTGATGAACTTGGCCAGATACCACGGCAACAAAGCCAAGATTATCGAAGCCGGTGCGGTGCCATTCCTTGTTGCTTTCTTCCGAGACGAATCACCCTCCACACTCGACTCTTGCGCAGCACTCCTCGCTTTACTGGCATCTCACCCTGAAGGTGTTGACGCAATGTTCAACGCGAATGCCATCTCCATGTACGTTCCTCTTTTACAACATGGCTCGCCAAAAGGACGAGAGTATGCTATTTCGATACTGCTCGCTATGTGCCAAAGCCAAGACAAGAAGGTCATAGACGAAGTCTTCCAACATCTGAACGAAATCGTGCCATATCTCTACAACTTGCTCTCCATTGGCACGTTACGGGCAAAGCGCAAAGTCGCTCCTCTGCTCAAGCTCTTCCGCAGCTAGGAGCCTACAGAGATGAATGGCCACATCGCAGCAGTTTTACAGGTACCTCAATGAATCTGCACATCGATTCAGCAATTTTCTGGAAGAAATATTCCAAAATATTAGGTTGTAACATACATTGAATTTTTTTACGACAATCGCTGTGGATAATTTTTATTGCACCAGTAGTTCCTCACTTGGTTGCAGTTAGTTTACACATCATTCTTTACATAAATCCTACCACCTGCTACAGAATTTTTTTGTTAAGGCAGGGATGGTTGATTGAGGAGCTTGAAGTTAAACAAAAGCTCGATTCGGATGCACCCAGAAATCTCCTTTTCTGACATGTGCCGTGAAGGCGATTTAGCAATTTTTTAATGGCAAAGTATCAAGTGCCAGAGCTTCATTATGAAGCATTCATGTATTTTAATATTAATACTCTAAAAAAATTATTAAAAAAAGAAATTAAAACTGGAATACTAATTTACATTGTCATTTGAGGTCCATTCTTCACGATGGAAATTGGACATTGTGCCTTTTCTAAGATTTCTTCTGTAGTCTGTTTCTCTTTTCTAAAACAACCCTGTGTTTTTTATTATTTATTTCTTTAATTTAATATAAATGTTAGATTAAAACATTATAGAAAACATATTTTAACAAGATTTTTAGTTTGGTGAAAATGCAGTGTTATGCTAGAACAATGCAAGTGGAATTAGAAGAAAACAATATAAATTGTAATTTAGTAAGTTTATTACAAATTAATTACTTATGTAAATTTTCTTTACTATTATTCAATATGGTTTTTGACATATGGTTGTTGCACCAAAGGTTAATAAATTTTGTTTTATTATTAATGAAATTTCAAATATTATTAATAAATAAATAAGCAAATAAATACATATTTTTAATAAAATTAGAATAAATATAATAAGTATGAATTAAAAATCATTGACTTAAAATAACTTGTAGTTTATAAGCTTATTAACAATAACAAAAAGTGGAGGTGGTAATAGAATTCTTGATAGATTCTCTGGAAGACATAAATGCAATAAATAATTGATTTGAGTATCTACCATTGTTAAGAAATTTATGAATAATAGATCAAGAAGGAATATAAAAATTGTAAAACAGTCAATAATTAGAAAGACTCTAAAAAATATCTTTAAAAAATGCAATAAACAGTCTTTAAATCTCAAATGAAAGAATTGACATCATTTTTTATAGCACACATATTTATTATATTAATAAAAAAATATACGTTTATTTTTTTTAATACTATGCATATAAGATTAACAATTCAAAAAACAAATACTTGAATTTGTTTTATATGATTTCATTAGAATTTAGGATTGCTTTTAAGAAAATTATTTTATTTTTATTTTTTTAAGATTGATATGGTTGTGTTAAGCTTGAAAAAGATTATAATTTATTCAATATATGCACTACTGAATAAATTATTGAATAAATATGAACCTGAAGTGGTTACTGGTCACTAATTAATCGGGAACAGTGGAACTTGGAGTGGAGAAGGGATGGCGCTGATGCAGGTTTTCGGGAAGGAATCCCGTGGAGGAGGGGTCCGCGATGATCTGGGGTCTCTCTGGCACTCTCTGTTTCTCTGCGTCTGTTATGTGGGATTGGAAAGCTCCGCATTCTGTAGAGCGTTACGGTGTTGTTCTAGCGCCGCATCACTGTTTGTGCGTTTGGGGGAGGTTAGGGCGTACTGTGGGGTTCTCTGGCTGTGTGCATGGGCGTGCGGTGTTGTCGCTCCTCTTGCCGCGATTCCTTGTGCCTTGTCTGCTGAGCTGTTGCACAATTAGGTGTTCTCTTTTTTTCACGTTGCTGCTATCAACGTCTCGCTTTGTGAGCTAGGAATTTTTTTGACTTCAGGTTCATGTTTTCTTCCTGGTTTCGGATTCCAACTCGCCAATTCTATTCTATTCTCTTCGCTGGTGGTCTTCCCAGGTACAAGAACACAGCTCACCAGCGGTCGACTACTGGTGAGCTGTGTTCTTGTACCTGGGAAGACCGCGATCTTAGAGCGGGTATCATTGCGAAGTTGGAGTTGCATGCCATCTACGTCGGCTACTGGACGACTCTTCTTTGGCTGCGTTTTGCTCTATCTTACTCTCTTAGTTTTGTTGCTGATTCCCGGAGATCCGAGTTTCTCGCCGAGGTACTTCTCCGTAGCGTGCGACGGTGTCGCAGACTGTGTTCCTGTTCTGTGCTCTGTGGTAGTGCTATGGTGGTGTCGATGGCTACTAGTTTCTGTTTTGTCTACGCTTCGGTTGGAGCGACGGCCCCGTATTTTTCCAGTGTTCTGTGTGTGGTTTCTCTCTTCCTTTGGTGACACTACAGAAAGGCAGGGATCTGGAGTCCCGTGTTTTCTGGACGAGGCGGCACTGCTTGTTATAGCTGTTCTGTTGCAGAAGTGGATCCGAGCAAGAAGTGACTACAGTAATAAGTTACGTGGAGTCATATAATGCAAACACTGAAAAAATTCAGCGGAAGCATGAATAGCATAAAATAACATGCTAGTCTAATATGAAGAAGCATAAGTCGAACTATGTATGTGGAGAGTAAGTAATAGAGTTTCTAAGTGGTTGGAAAAATCCTTCACTGTCATGAAACTGCAGCATATGTATTTGAATGCTCATGTGCATTGACTGTTGTTTTCGTTTTAATTTTCATGTTTGCAGAGTTCGAAACTTGGATGCGCATGTGGAGAAGGTAGGTGTGATTTTGGCCACTGTGATCACGTCTTGATGTTTTGACAACGGGGAGGCCTGTGACAAGTCGGGAGTAGCTATAGAAGGTCGATTCCCTGATGATAAACTAGGCCGAATCATTCTTGAGGTAGGCTACCATAAGGATGCTTCCGTGATATTGGAATGTTGTACGGTGAATTTTATTACATATGGTCCTTGCACATGAATCATGTTTGAATAACAATATGAATCATATGATTTTTGCAGGAGGGTTACATGGTATATGAATGCAATCCTAGCTGTCTTTGTCGGGAAGACTGTCAGAACCGTGTCTTACAAGAAGTGACTATTGTTGATCGTCTATCTCTGATCGGGTTCTGGTTGTCTCTGTTTTTTCCGTTCTTCTCTCACTGCCGATCTGGTCGCATCTTCTTTGTGTTGTGGATTCCGCTTTTGTTAGCTGCCGATCTGGTGGCTGATCCCTCCCTATTCCGCTGGGTTCTTGGTTCTGTCGTGCTGATTTCCACTGTCGTCGACAATCCTGGCGCTGGTTGCTGGGATTCTGGCCTTGGTTGGGCAACCGGATCTTCTAAGACTTGGCGAACTTTCCAACGGAGGCCGCAGGTTCAGGCTCTGCAGTTGCTGGGTGGGAAGCTACCTCGCGTTGTCGTTGCTCATCACGGCCAAGCTACTGCGCCGCTTATTATTCCATGCTCTTCTTGTTCATCAGTCCTATTTTCACACAAGTTCTTCCGTTATTTTATTACCATATACCGAATTCTCCAAAAGTAACAAGTCTGGTCGGATCAGACTTGATTCTTGCGTTCCATAATTTAGCATTTCAGTTTCCAATTCTTAAAACTCCTTGTAGGCAGTGAAGCAGAGAATTGTTGGAGGTCCAGTAGGTGCTCATCTCAATCCGTGAATTCATCACACTGGAATCCAAGAAGCATCTAGTATAGTTCTTCATTGGGTTGTTGTGGGTGGATCATGATGTCTTGGCTCACAGTTTGGCTTCGGTGAGTGATGCAGTGAAGTGGGGTCGGACGTGTTGCTGCTGCTGTTGGCGGTAGTGTCGACCTTGGCTTATAATAAGAAGGGTGCTGGCTTGGGAGCGAAGTTTGGAACCGTAATGGTTGGAGAAGTCCCTGCAAGATGGATTGTTGGGCTTGGACATTGTGTCGTCGCTGTCGTCATTGCCTCGTTGGGCTATTGCCGTTCCACTCGGTGAGCTGGGAATGAGCTTGTTCATACTTCGTCAAAAGCTTCATATCCAGATGAGAACTTCGAGAATGTATGAAATTTATATTCGGATAAAATCAAGTTGGATGAAGCTAAGTTAAGGATTTACGAAGTTAGGGTTGTATGAATACTTCATATCTAGATGAACTTTAGTGAATGTATTCTCATTTGTGAAAGAATTATAGTTACAAAATGAATTATTGTCAATGGATGAAACCTTTTAAAATTGATTAAGGTTGCATGTATGATTTTTTATGAAATTTCTTTATGTTAAGTTGGGTTAAATTGGAGGAGGTAGAGAGCTATTCAAAAAAGGCAATACTTGCAATTAATTAAATACCTAAGTTAGTCTAATTGTTGTGAGGAAGAGTAAACTACCAATTAGTGGGAGTTTATTTTAGCTCACAAATAAATATATAAATCTAGATTAAAGAATTGTTGTGAGTTTCACATCAATAAGTTTGGAACATTTGATTGTGAATATAATTATTTGTTGTAGAAGCATTTGTATTTTTTGATAGAAGGATGCATTTTTGCTTGATGGTTGAATCATGTGGAGAAATATAGGCATAGGTGTTGACAAAGTTTTGAATTGGTGTAAAGAGAGATATTTTTATTACCTTTATTATTTACGTTTATATGAAAGTTGTATGGAAAATTAGAAATTGTAAGAGTGTGGTAATGAATTAATGTAATAAGTACTTCTAGGTATAGCATATATATATAGTGCATGTAATGTGCAAGTTTAAATTTGAAATTACAAATTTAGAAGCAAAAAATCAAAATTGAATTAGCAAGTTTGATTTGAAGAAGAAATTATTTTTCTTTGATAAGTTGGAAATTATAAGAGTGGTAATTATTTATTGTGATTAATATTATAAGGTTTATCCATTATAGACATAATATCCTAAATAGGTAATTATGGTATATACAATTTTGTAAGTTTAAATTTGGGATAAATAAAATAAAGAAGAGGTTAAGTCAGAATGTCTTCAATTGTGAGATGAGTTGTTTTAATGATAGTTTTATTTGAAGAATTTAATATATAGATAGAAATATTGAAGGTTGAAAGTTATATTGATTAAACTTTGCATTAAGAGCTCATGGTGTAGTTGGATAATGTACATATTAGATACATTATTGCTAGATGTCTTGTGGAATTTTAGTTGGTTTTTTTATTCAATCAAAAGAAGGTGGGTGCATGCAAAGAATTTTATGTCATGATGTTGCATTCTTGTTATAAATATTTTTGAGCATGTTTATAGCTTGTTGAAAGATTGGTTTAATAATGTTTTAAGTATTTTAGATATATTTGTGTAGGTAGAGATCATTCAAGGTTTAAGATCAGTAAATTTTAAATTGAAGTTATAGGTTGAAAATTGGCTATAAAAATATTTAAAGAAATGAAGTATTGAATTTGGGATTATTTAGGATTGATGATTTAGTCTTATAAATTTGATGTATAGGGTACAAATTTGTATGATTTGTGGAGAAATTTAGGCCAAAGAGCATGTAATGAATGTCATGAATTACTAATAAAATTTAATGTGCAATTTAATAGGTGGTGATATAACGAATTTGGAATAGTTTTATCAATTTATTATGGCATCTATTTTGAAAACAATCAAGAAATATATTATGGTGTAAAGAAGTTTTCAATGCATTTGGAGGCAAAGATTTTTAACAAGAATGGAGTAATTGGATGTGTATTTGTTACATATTGATATAATGTCAAACATAGAATATTGTTGGAGATATTTAGAGAGAATGTTAAGCTTATATTGTAGCAATGAAGGTTTTATTGAAAGAAAAATATTTGTTGAATAAAAACCAATGTTCAAATTTATGCAAGACCATTAAGCATGTTATGGAGGTTTTTGACCACCTAATCATTTGTACTAATGATAAATTGAGGTTTGAGTTTTTATTGAGTGAGTTATTTCTTGCACTAAAGAAATCCTTATTTTTTGGTAAAAAAATGTGAAAAATAAAATTAGTGTAAAGAAGTCATCTTCTAATTTAATAATGAAGGAACTTTGAGATCTAGTGTAAGATTTGAAATTTTATTGTAATGTAGTAAATATTATGATTTCCAAGAATTATTCTAATACATTTAAAGACCACATTTGCTACTTTTGATATTAAAATATGTAATAAGGTAGAAAAGGATGATAATTTTTTATGTGAGAGGTTGATCCATACAAATAAAAAAGAATATTTCGAACATTATGGATTAATAAAGTATCTATTACAAAGCTTGGAAGATTGGAGTTGTACAAAAGGTGGAGATTTAAAACTATTACGTATCACAAAAAGTCTTAAAACTATTGAACAAATAAATGGAATTTATAAAAAAATTTATAAATCAAAGTGATTGGAACTTTGGTATGTAATTATAGAGATGGATGTTGAATTTGAGCAAATTTTTATCTAAGAAGAGAGCATTCTAAAAAATTTAAGCCATTTCAATTTCATAACATATTACTTTACAATGAAAGGTGATGCTAATGAAAGAAGTGAATCTTTTGTTGAATATTACAAGAATGAATATTTATACTTAAGAATGGAATTGATGCAAAAAAACTTGAGAAATATGTTGAAAGAAAAAAAAGAAGTATCTTATGTTTTCTTCATTGATATTATGTTAGAGACATAGTCCTTAGAACCTTCTAGAAGCAAGTTTGTAGAACCTTCTAGAAGCTTCCTAATTGATGGAAGTTACTTAAGAAGCTTCCTAGTTGGTAGAGGATGTTAAGGACATAGTCCTTAGAACCTTCTAGAGACAAGTTTCTAGAACCTTCTAGAAGTAAGTCTCTACAACCTTCTAGAAGCTTCGTAGTTGATAGAAGTTGCTTGAAAAGCTTTCTAAATACGAGTATATATTGGAATTGAGGTTGAAGAGTTCTTCAGTCTCGACAACACATCTCTTGGAGCTCTAGTTCACCTCTCTGGTGTTGTTCTTGTATTCATCTCATTAATCTAGTTCTTGCCAATTCTTCTTGAACTTCTTATTAGATCTCGAGTCTGTATTTCTGTGTCCGTGACAGTTTGTCAAGACTACACTCACCTCAGATATCAGAGCTAGTTTCTTCTTCGTTAGAGTGTAGATTATCCCTCTGCTTGAAGGTATACTAGCGTTTTAGAGGTTGCGGATTACCCTCCTCTAAACTGATATTTTTTTTGTTACAATATTGGAGTCTTATTCTTCTTAGAGAGAGTGGATTATCCCTTTTCTTGAAGCTCTTAAGGCATTTTAGAGGTTGCAGAGTACCATCCTCTAAACCAATATTGTCTTCTTATAGAGTCATTTCTGTCCTTCTTTTAGAATGGTCAGAAGCCAAGACATTAGTATGACGAAAAGTTTGGAGTCCAAGTTAGATGCTATCATGAATACCCTCGCTACATTATCACAAAGAACTGCAGAGATTGAAGGAGTCATAGCAAGGCTTCACAATGATGGAGCATCTGGAATGGCACAATCTAGGTTGTACCAGCCTCAAACTTCTGTACTTGGAGAAGCAACTTTGCCTCAGGTTCGACAAGCACCGCTGCTTCTACAACATAAGGAGCCCCGAGTTAGCCTTCCAGATAAGTTCGATGGTACATATTCCAAGTTTCAAGGATTCATCAATCAAATCAAGTTGATAACAATTTTATAGCCAAAACGCTATCCAACGAAGGAGTCATGTGTTGGGCTTATTGGAACCTTACTTACAGGGCAAGCTCTATCATGGTTTGTTCCTTTCTTTGAAAAATGATCATCCATACTAAACAACTTTGTAACCTTGTTGGAGGCATTTGTGGAAGCATTTGGTGAACATGACAAGGTTTGATGGGCTACAACAAAGATCCAGTCACTACGACAAGGGATGCGCTCTACATCAGTCTATACATCGGATTTCAGGCAATTAGTATGCGACATCAATTAGGACGAAGAAGCATTGATGAGTCAATTCTATTGGGATTTAAGGGACAATGTGAAAGATTTGCTGTTAACTCTTCCTGATCCGCGAACACTCAATGAAACTATTAGCCAAGCTGTGAAGTACGATAATTACCTATTCCAACGTCGCCAAGACCAATGCTCAAGACAACATACGATTTATCACGCCTCAACTATGTCGACAAGCAGCGTGAATTCACATTCAGAGGTAGAAGATATGCAAATTGATGCGGTACGTATCAAATCTCTTAATCTAGAAGAAAAAAAGTGAAGTATGGAGAAAGGTCTATGCTTGTATTGCGGTAAAGAAGGCCACAAAGTTAGAAACTGTACAAAAAAACAAAATCGACGCACTGTCAGGACCAGAGGCACGTTTGTTCAAGAAAACGAGGATGCCCAGCCACAATAGGAACCGTGCTGTTGAACAATGAAATATCGCAACAACAACTAGGTTCCTTTCTTTCCGCTCAACCTGCCCTTTGTTTTATAATCCCTTTGTTTATTGGTCATCAAAAACTGAGAACCTTAGCATTATTAGATTCAGGAGCATGTGCTTGTTTCTTAGATAAAGAATTTGTGAAGCGTCATAAGATCCCTTTAGTACAAAAATCCAAACATGTTCACATTGAGGTCATAGATAGACGACCTTTATTGTCTGGTAGTATCACCCATGAATCAGAATCTATAGAAGTGACGTTTAAGGGCCATAGTAGTCATATTATTTTAAATATTATTAGAACTCCATCAAATCCTACTATTCTTGGTCTTTCTTGGTTGAAAAAGTATAATCCATCCATAGATTGGAGGTTGCGAAAGATGACCTTTCCCACAAAACCATCCAAGAGCAAGCCTAGTATCAAACCCCGAATAGAAAAATCTTTATTCATTGAAGCAAGAGCATTTGTAAGATCATCCAAGGAAGGTACACCGTTTGTCATTTATGCGGCTCCAAGTACTCGAGAGAAGATCTCGACAGCAAGTATACCGAAGCAATATAAGGATTTTAAAGATGTGTTTTAAAAGAAGAATGTCGACATGCTACCAGAACACCAACCAGATGATTGCACCATAGACTTGCAGGAAGGAGCACAACCACCTTTTGGTCTAATCTACAATCTATCGCAGATGGAGTTGGCGGAGTTACGAAAGTACATCGACAAGAATCTAGCCAAGAACTTCATCCGTCATTCAAAATCGTCAGTTGGAATATCCATCTTATTTGTGAAGAAGAAAGATGGCTCGCTGTGGATGTGCGTGGGGTAACGAGGCCTCAACAAGGTAATAAAG